TCCCTTGGCTGTCTGAGGCTTGTTGTGTCATCTGCTTGAGGCCACACAGTTGTAAGCTGACCGATGTTGGTGAAAAGTAATGGATGTTGTGGTTGACAAGTTTAGTGGACTCGCAGAGCTAATGTGAAAATATGATGAAGCGCCTAGCTTGAGCAATGAAGCCGCATGGTATTTTGTCACATGTTAGACTCACGGTAAGCAGTAAACTGATAGTAAAATCACTGTGTAAAGTTCGATGGATCAAAAACAACAAGCTTTCGGAATTAACGAAAATTTCTTTTCGAAAGAATTCATAAAACAACCAAATAAACTTTACTATCACGTGGTGGTCCCAAAAATAGTTGAAACAACATCAGAACTACGAATCTTATCTCATAAAATAAAACAAATGAAAAAACCGCGTAGCACTACCGCACACTGATACTTGGTCCAATCTAGCCTTCGTGCGAACCATAGCAGTCCTGCCACTCATTTTCATTTCGCTGTCCGGTAACCGTCATCCAAATTTGTGCTCGTTTGTGGACTCGACTACGGCTCGATGCTCGCCGTCTTCGCTTCTCATTGCTATGACGAATGCTGATCAAGAGAGTTTTCACGAGTTCTCGAGTACAGCTCACTGAAATGTTTCTCTTTTTGAATTTCGGCACAACTCTTCACCACATCTACTGTGAGTCTGCTCATGCCCATCATCCACGAATGGCTCCAAACTTATTATGCGTTAGTTCCAGTGCTGGCCGTGGATTACTGTCCTCTTTGTGAATGTCATTCAATGTTGGTCGGGTCGATTCTCCTTTAATTCTGAAACAGCCGTATTACGCCGTTCTTACGCATAGTGGAGAGGCGAGCTCTTCTCAGACAAGTCTGGCACCGATTTTATGAACCCAAATAGACATGAAATCTACTGTGCCCACGACGACGTCGAACCAGCACCCTGCCCGTAATGAATGCCAGCATTACGGCTGCTTTTTTCGTCCTCTTTTTGAAAAAAAAAGTGCTTTTAATCATTCGTCTCTGACGATAAGATCAGAAGAGATGAAATTTCAGGTCTTAGAGGAAGCAGAATTTTATTTAAGAAACGTACTTTAGTAGCCTCTGAAGAACACACATTGTTTTATCGTTTCAAAGGCAAAAATAGAAGCAAGGCATACTGTTGGAGTCGACCACTTACGGATGCATTCGACTCGGTTCATAGCACCGTTTGGGCAGTTGAATTACTCACTTATATAATGACACGTGATGGCTTTCGGTCTCTTGTTTCGTTGCGTTCATCACCCCTGCCAAGACTGGCATCAATCAGCTGTCTCAGGAGAGATGGAGGGCATGGGCTTGCCCTAGGCGTCAGATCAAACTAACAGTCATGCTTGTAGTGAGCGGTCTTTCACATTTTATGCAACCGAGACCATGTTTTCAATTGTTGATAATTCCTCGATCGTAGATGAAAAGCAGGGAACTTTGGAAGTCATGGAAGGTACAGGAATGAAAGCCGCTCTAAGGACAGACATGAGTTTTGTTGGAGAGCTTCTTCAACATTACACTTTGGAATCCAAATTATCGGTTGGGCTTGAAAACCCATCTTTTTGAAATGGCTACTGCAAAGGTGACAGCTGCGAAGACCAAAAATACATTGAAGAACGTTATAGTCTACTTTTTGGCAACATTCCTCTTGCTCAATTGTTTTTGTATCCGAGATATTGTTTTGAAAGAGCGAAGTAAGTTCTATGGATTCCAAAACTTCAAAATTTGGTACTGATGGAATTAGCAGATTTTTTTACTCAGTTGACAAAGATCCACGCATTCAAATGGTCCCAAGGGACGTAATAATTTTCATTTTGAGCTGAGATATGCTGCTCTATTGCATTGAGAAGAAATTTTGCGGACATTTTCGTTTTTGTGTAAGTTTATCGCGTTTTTCAACAAATAAAAACAACAAATGATCAATCAAAGTGCTCCCCTTCAACTACAATCACATCCTCCCACATTCCTGGCAACTTCATGATGCCGCGACAGTAAAACTAGGTGTCGGCCAGCATGCGAGTCGTCAACGACGGAGACGTCTCAGTTGCATTCAGGCTGGTTCCTTGCTTCTGCGTCAAATCTCCATTTCCAACCTTGAATCCACTGAAACGATCAAAAACTACGATTCACCTCACTATTCCGTCAGCCCAAGCCTCGTTAATCCGGCGGAAAGTCTGGCCAACACTTCAATCAAACGAGATACTCGTGCCTCATCAACAATCGTTTTCGCTCACGCGACATTCCCATTTCAAAATAAATGTGCAAGTGTTGTATATCAAAATATTCGCAAGAAGCTGCTCTAAACGGCAGTAAAACGAAAACTTGAAAGCATAAAGAGTAATCAATAAAAACGAAAATGTCCGGAAAATTTCTTGTCAACGCAATAATGCTGATGTCGATGAGAATTTCCGTTCCATATGAATCACCTAAGATATACTCGATCATGAATATGTCGATCGAAAAATAGTATGAAGCGCACCAATTACGTGAACTAATATAATGGTCAGCTTTATTAATCGTGTGTATCACAACATAGAATCCAATTATTTAGTTCTCCTTTAATCGCCGCCCATGGAGGTAGTGCACATCCAGCCAGGCCATCTGCCAGTATCATTCTTTTGTCCACACGAATCACGTAATCCTATTAATCGCCGAGTGACTCGAGCACGCACCACTAAAACTTCCATTTTTCCCCACCGCGTGCACTAGCCTAATGGATCTTCTCGTTGCAGGTATTCGTCTTTCGTCCTTCTGGGCCTTTCATGAAGAAATCGGACGAACGGGTTGGTGGTCTTCCTGTAGAGCGCTTGATGTCCCAAGGAATCCAGTTGGTAACGGCTCTCCTCCATCGGTTGTCGTTACAACGCATTACGTGTCCGGATCACCTGATTTTTGATGTCCTGGCGTGTAAAACAGCATGTTTGACCTCCGATAGTTGACGTAAGTCGAGACTTCAGGCCCTTTCTCTCATCTGCGAGATACGGATACTGCTAGCATCGACTTCTCGCATGCTCGTCCAAAGTCAAGTGATCTTCCATCTTGCTTACGTAGCGAAGCAGGCTTCTGATGTATGTGTTAGACAGGCAAGTATTGGAGGCGTGCATACTTTGTTTTCTTCACTGCATCCTTGATGCTCTTGAACATTCCCCAAGCCGCTCACTTCCTCCCACTCAAACTCTGGTGCTAAGTCGTTCTTCATTGGACATATAAGCCGTTGAGAGTAAATGGAGCATTCAAAACCACTCCGTTTTTTATGAACATCGTTTTACTTGAATTTAGTCAGGGACCAATCTTTCCACGAGCATTATCGAAGTCGGCCCACATTCGTTCCGTTGGTGATGCTTGGTGTCATAATATCGATGTCATCCCAAAACTGAAGATGGTGTAATAGTCGACCACTTCGACCATTTTCGCTCCATATTTTCCCATCGCAATGTTCGCATGACATTTTGAATGATAGCAGTGATTAAACATTGGCAAAATGGTATCGTCTTTTCAAACCCTTCATCTCACTTCGACAGTTACATCGCTATCGAATAGTATTGTTTTGGTGGTGAAAACTCTACATGGCTCATGGAGCATTTTCATGCACTGAGTGTATACCCTCTAGTTGTCCAGAGCATCTATTACTGCTTTTATCTCAAGTGTGTCTAATGCAAGGCAACTCGACAACTAAGGCAGTTACCGCAACAAGCACAAACGAGTATGGACAATCGACTCACATAATCGTCTTTGAAAAGAGGAAGACGTCGAAACGTTAGCCGAATAAGTCTTCATATCAAGCTTACACCACTAGCTAGATTGTGGAGGAAAACTACTATTGGTGGTATTGCTGAGGTTGAAGGAAAGTCGATTTTCAATATACTATGGGGATTTGTGCTTTCCTTGATACCTTAGTCATAAACTGGAAATAAACTCCATTGATTATCATAGAAAAACAAAACACTTGTGAACGACTAGGATGTTCTCAATGAAATCTTCCACTTATATGAGCGGCACACAAAGAAAGGTCCGAAAAAGGAATGCAATCTATTTGTCGAACTCAAAATGTACTGAAAACTCTCCATTTTCTCAACTAAAAGTTTCAGATCGCAACTTCATTTTTTACTCACGAGTTACACTGCGAGATAGAAGGATTGAAGAGAGCCACAGCTACATAACTCAATAACATCCAAGGCAAATTTAGACCACAATCTACATGTACTTCTCGTAAAGTTTATGACATCTTGAAATAAGAGAACAATCCAGACCGTAAGGGCGTCAAGAACGATCATTTTGCCAGTGAAGCGTGACCGTAAGGATTTTGTTAACCATGATCCGATTTGCTTGTTGAGTCTCCTCTACAACTTCTCATGAAGTGATTCCTCAACCCATACCTAAGACCTTCGGCGAGGCACAACGAGTAGAGTAAGCAGTCTGACAGAAATGCTGTTGCATGGACGACTTCCAAATCGTGTCACGGATCACAGAAACTTGTCGGAAGTACCATGTGTCTCTTGCCCTATCTTTCGCCAAATACGTCATGGAACATGATGTGAACTCGTCTTAACACCAAACTTCTTGTCTGTTACCGTAACTGGAGCACGGACAGCTTTTCCCTCGAGCCCTTCCTTAACCATGGGAAACTAGTTCAACGACACGACACAATCTCGCAAAGCTGTTTATTGCCGCACTGCAATGGATAATGAAATCACATGAGTACGACGAGAAGGACGCGCGTGTTGATGAGAATTCCCATGAAATCATCGTTTCGCGGATAACATCATCATCTCTTTCAGAAGTGAAAATGAGGCAACGTCGACACTAAGTAAGCTCGATGAAGCGGCTCAAAGGACTGAACTGCGCACAATCACGATGGTACCCAGTTCGAGAAGAATCAACGCTGCGATGGTGAACAAATCAAAATACATGGCTCTCTCATTATTGAGACGACCCGGTATGTGTATTTGTCGTTCAGTTAACATGGAGAACAATATGAAGTAGGAGCTTTGGTGGTGCAACGGTTAGCATGTGCTCTCGGAAAGAGTGAAATCTGAGTTCAAATCCCGGCTGACGCAAAATATTTTTGCAGAGCACTCCACATTACTGGGTATATTACAAGATCATATCACCGTAAGAAGCGGTCAAAAAATGAATTCCGATCGAATACGAAGGAGGAATTACAAAGCGAAACAGCATGGGACGCCTTTCAGCCTATCACGGAAGCCGCCGATTAGTTTAGATTTACTTTTATTTTATCTTTAATACGCAACATCTGTTAGCGTGACTAGGTTCAATGTCGAGACCGACTACTCGGGCCAGGCCGATGACGGCTGACAGATGGATGCGCTGTATCGTGGAAAGAGTGATGTGCAAAATGAGCGTCAGTAGTGTAACGGATAGAGCACGCGCTCCCGTACAGAGTAAGGTGTGGGTTCTAGTCTCAGCTGACGCGAAAGTTTTGCACATCACTCTACATCAATGGGATTAGTTTACGATCGGAAACTCCGCGTTCACCTCTTTGTCTCTAACAAGCAACTTAACATTGTGCTATAGAACAAAGACATGTACTGATCGTTCATTAACATCAGGAATTCTGCGTACCACCTACAGAACCTTTGAACAATGTCGCCTGTAACCTAATCAACGCTCACAGCACTAGCTGAAATGCGCACTTCAGATCTTCAAACCGATCCCAATCGCGTAATTCAGGAAGATATACATCGATAGCGAGATACAGATGGTCACCTAATTAGAGGAGTGGATGACAGATGGACGAAAACAGCACTGGAGTGGACTTCAAGAGGATGTAGTGTCCTCTTAGGCGACCACTCAGACGATACGCGATCCTGTTCGTGGCTAGCGTTAATCATCTGCATTGCCAAAACAAAACGATTTTAGAGACCCGGAATGACTCTCGCTAACGTCGCCTTGTCCGTAGCAGGCCTCCACCACAGATTGTGATTACGCAAGAGAAGAACGGATGGATATTAATTATTATCACTATAAGAAAGCTCATATTTTATTATTTCCACATATCCATGAATAAATAACAATTTATCAAAGTATACCACAGTGCAACAACCCTAACAATTTCGAAATTCTTAAGTAATGTCGGACCTACGTAGTAAACGAACGACTGAAAGGGACAGCGATTAGAATTGGGCGGTGAGAAGGAATCCAGTTATACATCAATGAAACGGGTACGTGAAACGCAAAAAAATACCAGTACGCAATCATTAAAGGATGAAAACACGGTGAGAGACTATAGTCGCATCTATTTTGTCAGTCTAGTTGCTAGAAAGCGGAAACAATTGAGACGAGAATGCATTCTACGTGCTCAGGAAAAAAACTTCTTTGTACAATGTAAAATTCAAAACAAATTCTCAAACCTAAAGTAATGGAAAATAAGTAAAACATAACAAAAGAAAAACGGCGAAAGAGGTTAGATAAAGAATAGAAGAAACAACTGGCACAGCACATCAGTATCAATGATAATATCATATGTCGGAAAAATATTACAGAAATTCGACTCGTTCGCTCAAAAGACGAGAAAAAGCTTAGCACTTTCGGGACGGCGTGTATCCAAAAAGATACATGATTTTTAGGAAGGCTTTTTGGCTAGTTAAAATTTTTTTTCTTAGGCTTTCAATGAAACTATTCGAAAGCTCAAATGCGGAATTTTAATAATATGTTTGACTTCTGATAACATTTCTTATGGCAGTGTAGCAGTGCCAATCACTATGTTCGCTTGGTTGCTTGGTTATGATCTATAGATAAATATTTGCTGGGCTTTGAAAATTATTCGACAGCTGGAATCTCGATGATTCTGGGCTAAAACTGTTTTTCAAAAGGCTCTTAACGCTGAAGAGCGAAAAGAAGATTGTGTTTGCGCTGGGAATTTTCTTCGTGCATAAGAGTTACACACGAAGAGCATACGACCATCTAGAGAAAATCATGGATTCAATTGTCGACCGCCGACTTTCACTCACATATCGCCCCATTCTAATATCCGCAACAGAATAACACGGATAAACTGAAGTTTTTTCTTTCCAAAACGGAGAAAAAACAACCCTAATCAAATAACGAAAATAACGCGCCACTTGCGAGTTGCGCTATACAAACGATTCCCGAAAGGGTTGATATTATCCATAGATATACAGGGGCATTTTTGATGAGAAAATATTGGTAAATTCTCAAGGATAGAGAGGAACAACGTCCTAAAACACTGCGACAAAGCAGCCACTAATTTTCAACACAACAATTTAGGAAAAGTCATAACAAATTGAAACAAGCAAGGAACTGATAGAATACCCGAGTTGGATCATATCAATGGTTTTAATCGGCGTGAATGGCCAAATCTCTAGCATCTCCCATTGAGAACATGTCCTCACTATCCTGAACACTCGTGGCCCGCATGGTGAAGCGATCGGCTTTGACAAAACCACTGATGAAATGGTACTCCTCGATGTTCAATAATCGCATATGGATATGGGCTAACAGCAGTTCTCAGTGAGCAGCACACAAGATAAGCACACAGGAAGGAAAGAGGAAAGATGCGAATCAACGCGTAAACGTGTCTGATTACTGGCATTGACTTAGTTATTCGACTTTCATCCAAAGTCGTTCATATATAGCGAGAACAGTTACTGCTAACCCTACAGTGCCACTGCCTTGGAAGCAGAATTTAGTTGATCGTGGATCCGGACTGCATCCGGAAAACCGCGAGGCCGCGAACGATCACCCATGAAAAGTTGAGAAGATGAGATAGACGTATCTGAAACGTGAAACAACCATGTAAGCGATAAAAAGAATGTTCCCTAGTTGTAAACAGATAATTAGAAACTTTTTTGTTCCCACGGCTTTTTAGTATACAGACAAATCATATATAATACAGCAATTCTTTACACTAGAAAATCCTTTCCTTCTTCATATTTCAAAAAGAGAACTATTTTCATATGCCCTCTTAATGTACTTGAAGCTATAAAATTACGCAAAATAAATCGATGGGACAATAAACTTAGAAGATCCTTAGTTGCGAGGTCGAATAAAAAACTACGAACGAGAACTCAGCGGTTCAGATTCGCCATGTCATTTTGAATCACAATTTAGATCAAGTAATAGAGAAAAAATGAACATAAACGTCATGTCAACTTCTATCAAATGCCTAATTCATTTTTAATGATAGGATAAGATGTGGAACACAACCTCAAAAATGCTAAGATGCAAGCAAAATTTGGTTCTTTTCCGTTAGACGACGGCAAATGAATATTCGACCCCATCTGCTGGACAAGAATTCTTCATAAGAGTGTTAGTGATCATTCAGAAGCTAAAATCTCTGCCTGGGGCTGTACGTAGCCGGTTTTTCATAACAACCTTTTGGAACGCTGTGAAATCCAAAGTGAAATTATGTCACACAGACGATGCGCCTTCATTTTTATCACGCGTCTGATTCGCTGGAGGCACGAAAAGCCACAGAACTTGTAGAGAAAATTTCGTAGTGTCTGAATAAATCATTTTATAATAAGGTTCATGCTAAGCGGAGAAAAGATTCCCAACTGAATAAAAAGCTGCATTCACATGTCTGACACATTAGGCGATCGATCACTCGTCGAATATGTGAAACTCGATCTCATCTTACCTGCTACAATGCAGTGATACGGTCTTTCTCGGAAAATAAGCACAGCGTTGGGACCATTGAAACTTACTTTGCGAATGATTACGATAGCCTACGGAAAGCGAATTGAAAGGTGAGCAGAAACACAACTTCAGACGGGGAGTCGAACGAGCGTCTTATCCATACCGGGGACGAGTGTTACACTCTTAGACGTCTCTTAAACGTAAAGGTTAAACTTTCAGCTACAATGTGTAGCACACTAACTGGTATGGATGAAACGCGGGTTCGACTCCCGTCTGAAGTTTTTTTTTTGATCACCACTCAGTTCTCTTAGGTATATATGAAACATCATGACACTGCGAAAAATGTAGTAAAAACACTAGAAATTTGCAGTACTATCTAAAAAAAGCTCTGTCCGGTGAGATTTGAAGCATAGATCTTTTTTTTCCTACAGCGCTATAATAGAGCTTTTCGAAAACCGAACATATTTTTGAGTTCTTCGAGACTTGGGATATCGAAAGAGTACTAGCACTCTAACAAAAGAATTTTCTAGAGCGAAATATAAGCGAGATAAGAAAAAGCGCATAGTAATGTACAAACATATTTTTATTCGGTATTTTACAGCATTATGAAAGGACGTTTGAAAAACTGACCACGTAGGGATCTAACCGAAAAATTCAAACTTTCGAATGATTACTAACACTCCTATGAGAATTTCAGGTCCAGCGAATGAGGTCGAATATTCAGTTGTCGACGTTAAACTAGAGAAGTACCAAGAATTTGAACATAAACATACTTTTCTGGAGACTTATAGCGTCACGTGTAGCGTCTTCAAAGCTCGCTTGATAGGCATCTGACACCACTGGCGTTGGAGTACTGGTTCGAGGTGTGGCTGAATACAAAGATTTTGATGAAGCTATGATATTTTAGACATAAATATCTTGGCTAAGATCTTAGACAAGATGGGTACGCCGTGCTAAGAATGCGAGAAGTTTCATGACGGTGACCATAAGAACTAATCTTGATGACCCGGACGGAAAGCAGCCGGAAATCCTTTGAATCAATAACCAACAAGCATAATGACAGCTTGAAAACATTCTCTTAGAAGCTTCTATTGCAAGAAATGAAGGGACCAAGGATTCAGGCCGCAAACATTACTGGGTCAAAGTGTTTAGCTCAATAGTTTCACATCAGCACAATTAACTCCAAATCTTAATTATCACATGACTACCATTAAGGACTTTCTCAACCCCTTGAGTCCGTGGCAGATATATGTGCCACTGACCGTCATGTTGCGTGCCACGCGCTAGAGAAATCATCTGCCAGATACACGCGTTGTGCTGGGAATATCAATGCCACATAAGGGAGTTTTGTGGTTTTTTTTTATTAGAAAAAACGCCTATGTGTCGAAAATCTTCAAAGACAATACGACATCGTTAAAAAAAAGGTTTAAGTAATCAT